ATGTTTCTATCTTGTCGAGCAGACTCGGATTTACGACATTCATGGCATTGTTTCCACGACTTTCTCGCAGTTTCGAAATAGTTCTCAAGAAAATGTGTAGTTCTTCTTTTAGGTGTTTGTGGTTCTGTTGCAAAAATCAATTCTATGATGTTTTCTGTACAACTCAATGGTTTTGCGTAAGGAATTGTAATACGATGCAATTTGAATGGATATATCAACGCCTTTTTTCGCATTATTGTAGTCAAAAATAGGTTTAGTTTACCACAGCTTCAATCATAGTAAAAGTATGATTGTTGCAAGTAGTTAACATGCAAACTGACCATTTGTCTGTCCATTTAAAAAATTTAATTCCTTTAGGATTTTAAATGCTCACAATGTTACCTCATTTTTGTTTTAGTTTTGCTTCTGCTGGTGGAAATTTTTTATTTACTTTTACAGTACCACATAAATTCGTTGACTTATCTAAAAGTTCTTCAGCGAAAGGCACTGCCGTCCACTGGCCCGATATAGCAGTCCGATTTTTTTGTCAAAATACCTATGTTAGATTAATGCTATATATAAATCTAATATATATCCTAAGTTGCGCTTTTGAGACATGAAAAATGCAATTGGAATTTAGTTAATCGGCATAGTAGAACGGATGATATAGAACTGTCCCATTTTTTTTTCTATTATTTGCGCAGTTTACCATAATGCTATTCTAAAAATGTTTGGATACTTTTAGATCCTGTAGTACAATTACATTAATACAAGTTCTGTACACATACTTAAAAAGACTGCTTGTAAAAGGAAGAAAAAAAATTAGTTAAAAAAGTATTTTGAACTTATTATTGTTAACTAAGCTAAATTTTAATTTAATAGATATTTTGGAAGTCTATTTGCTTTACAAGGGGTTGTATTTCTGGATGCCCTTTACATTTTGAGTATTTTGCTGCTAACTTCTGTTCAAAAAAATACATTGAAAATGAAAATAAGTTTACACATTCAAAACTTCTGATGCAACAAAGTTCTCACCTTTTTATGATGATTATGTTTTGATATTTTTATGATTACATTCCGATGTACATCCTCAGTAAAAATACTGGAAATATGACTTCTATTGCAGAATATCGACAAGAATATTTTACAAAAATTGCATCATTTATAATATCTTGAAAATCAATACATTTTCAGTTAATTTGCCCCACTGTATCAGACACTAAAAATAATATAAAATTTACTTTTTGTTTACTTTGTAAACTATACACATATAAATATATTAAAATTAATATTTTAAATATATAAACAAAGTTATATATTTAAAATGCTAATTTTAATATAGAAAAATATTTACTTTTTCTAAAATAAATTATTATACAATCAACGATGACTGTATACAGTTAAAATGTCTTCAGAACTATTTTTACTTGCATAAGGAGGGTTAGATTTCTCAAACCAATCATTTTATTGCATTTATATCAAAAACACATATTAGCATGAAGTAATTTTGTTGAATTCCATGCCAGCATCTCTAGTCCACAAGCTGCTTAAAGAAAAACATGTTTAAAAGTGAGAAATTTAAAAACTTTATGATTTTGGCATTTGGAAATATAAAATCCATTTTTGGTGGAGAGAACCCAAGTATTTCAGATTCAGTTGGAGATGTTGTCAACATAGCCTAAATTTTTGTCAAATTTTCCAAAGCCCAACAAATCAAATTGCATGCAAAGTTTACAATATTCATTTAAATAAAAAGCAATCATTCCCACAAAGAATAGAATTTTGTACATTACATCTTGCAATCCTATGTAAAGGAAAAATATTGAGATCAACTCTTTTTGCTCAATGAGTAAAACAGAAATATCCACTGAACAATAACTAATTTCCACTTAATCAGGAAAGCCTTTCTTTTTTAATCCCTTATGTTAAAATATACTAAAAGTCAACAAATACACAAAATGTAAATTTCATATGTAACCAAACATAGTTTAAATTGTTTTGCATTCATGTGAATATTTCTCAGTATACATCAGGTTAGAATATCTGAATCTGATATACAGTTTTGATGTTTAGTTTTTAGTATTAATGACAAAATTTTATCTTTGCAATTATTATATGTGTTATTTTTGGCATTTAGTTTAATAAATTTATTACTGCAATCATTGTACATAATATTTATTTCCCCCTTCAATATAAATTCAAACAAAGAAAAACTTCATTGTCTCTGGTACCCATTAGACCTCAAATCATACAAAATGGATTAGAAAAGATGAATATGCAGCTGACTCTGTGAAATCTTAGACCAAATCATAGTTCCTGTTTGCTTCACTGCGACTGGTTGGTTCTTGTACTGGTTACAGCCGAAAACATCGCGACAAAAGCATTGCAGAAGAAAACATCATGGAGAAAACAATGCAAGGCGAAAACATTGTGGTACGAAACAGCATGGGAGAAAAGAAAGCAAAGAGAAAACGCCACAGTTCTAAAACATCATGGTACAAAATATAGTGGTTGAAAATAAAACGGTTCAAAAACTTCGCAGTTTAAAAATTTCATTGTTGAAAATATCGTGGTAAAAATTAACGTACCCACAAATCATCACACATATGCGTTTTTCAGGTTTTAAAAGCTATAAATGCATTTTCGCTTAATGATTTGGTAGTGCAAAAAGGAAAGAGCGTGAAAATGTTAACCACACTTTAAAAGTACACGGAAACAAAACAAGATATAATTTTCACTAAAACAATAACAGATTAACAAATTTGAAAGAAAATAATCTGATAATTAACTAAGCAATTTGTATAGAGGTAACCTGATGCAGTTATTTATCTTGCTTTTTCTAAACATTTTTAGACAGTATTTTAAATGCTTTCTTTCCTTACTTTTTCAGCAAAAGTTATTAGTCATTAAAATATAAATATAGAAGTAAAAATATCCCTCTTTCCTTTTTGTGCTCCCAAATCATTCTGCAAATATGTACTACTTTTAAAACATGAGAAGCGCATGTGTGTGATGTTATCGTCATGTGATGATTTGTAGGTACTTTATTTTTTACTACGATATTTTCGAAGATGATGTTTTTAAACTGCAAAGTTTTAAAATTGTTTTATTGTCGACTACGACATTTTGTACCACAATGTTTTCTCTTTGCTTTCTTTTCTCCCACGATGTTTTGCACTACACGTTTTCGCCTTACACTGTTTTCTCCACGACGTTTTCATCTGCAATGTTTTTCCCGGACATCCTTGCACGTACGAAGGTCCAGTTGAATCTTTCCATTCACTGGCATAAAGTTCAACGTGACCTTCGCAAGCAGTTTGCAGAAACAATAGTCTGTGCAATGAAAACCATCATTACAAAAACGAATTCATTTTACAATTTAGGGAATCTTTGTTTGAACAGAGTGAGGAAGGGAAAAGTCACACAAATATTAAAAAAAATTTCTGAATCTAGCACTAAGATGGTAAGAGGGAAAACTACCTGATGAAATATGGTGTTAGAATTTTATACAAACGGAAAATAAAAATTAAAAGCATATAAAAAATTATTAAAATTTTCAATCATCTGTTTTGAGCAAGTTATTTCAGATATTCCTGTTTGAAGACCCTTCTCTCAAATTACATAACCATCACATCTTGACCACATTTGTTTGTTCTTCGTTTTTCATAACCACTTACAGAAAACATGAGTTTATTTAGAACTTACCATTTTAATAGCATATAAAGCATTATTTTCAGTTTTCATAAGAGTTACAAAATTTGGTACTTTTATGACAAAGGGGGGCAGTAGTCGTTCCCAAACTTTGACAATTATGTGAAATGAATGTCTCACAGTGAAGGTGAAATGTAGTAACAACAACCCCCAATGATACATTCAAAATACATCATTAATAGATAATATAGTCATGATTAACATCCTTTACCATAGATACCTTTTTCTGAAATAATTAATTCTTCTGCATTCAGCAATCAAAAAATCCTAAAATCCAACACGGATCCCTAGTCAAAGTATGCAAAAAAATGTCTTTTTAGCACATGTTGAATCACATCTGGCAAAGTTCACAACATATGGTCACAATCTTTGGCATGCTTGCATATGTTTTAGCTACTGCCTTATTAGAATCTGCCAAAATTCCATTTACTATCTCAGTTGATTAAAATAACACAATGTCAGTTTAGCGACTCTGAGCAAAATATTTATTCAGCAATAATCATAAATGTATTAATCAACAGAATATGAGAATTTGCTTCACTACAGGATGAGAAAACCTTCAATTCCAAATTGCCATTGACATTTGACAGGCTGGTGGATTTCAGATGTCAGCAAATTTTTGATTTTTTAATGTATAATTATAATTGATAAAAATATAGTTTTAATATGTAAGGATAATTAAAATTATAATAATTAATTTAATATGTAAGGTTTAAAATTTACTTAAGGAAGAAACTGTTGTTATACAACAAACAAACTCGTAAATGTCATTTCATACTAGCTACAGCAAACTGAACTAATTTTGAGCAAAAAGTAGCTATCTAAGGTTCAGTCTTTTCCTATTGATTCATCTACAAATGGATACACACCAGAAATTAAAAAAAAAAAGTCCATTGTTCTAGCATTCTCATATTAAATCTGTATTTTTAAATATATGCAACACTTCTGAATATTTTAATTCTATACATACCACAACTCTACATATTAATTTTAGAAATTTCCCAGTAATTTACTGAAGGTGTAATATATAATAAACTAGAAAAGATCTAATACATTTTAACAACAGCAATGAATATTTCCAAAATTCTTGATATAAAATGAAATAAAATAAAAAGCAAACAAAGTAAGAAATAATAACAACTAACACATAAAAATAACAAAAAAACAAAAATTAAATAGAAAGAAACTATAAAGCATCCCTCCTGTATAGTATATGGGAAGATTGTTTTTAGTTGAAGGATGTAAATCACAAACTCCATAAATACTCCTCTAGCAAGGATATGATCTTTTTTATTCTTTTATAGAGAATATATCAAAACTCATTCAAATATTATGCTTATAAACATTATCATCAAAAACATTAAAAAAATATATTCCCAAATTCTATTCTTACAATGAAACAAATAAAAATTCACAAAACAAATCATAGATAACAAATGATATCCAAAAACTAAAGGATACTATGGAAAGGAATTTAATTAAACTTTAAGAATACATAAATATATATATGATTTGTACACATTTTAATTAGAAATCTAAAATAATCATTGTTATACAGGAAAAGCAGAAAAATGACAGAAAGAATATAGGTTAAAGCAAAAAAGAAGCAAGAACCAAAGTTACAAATGAATTTCATAATGATTTCAATACAAAACATGATATTTAAGATGAAAGATGTAAAAGAAAGTACAACCAGTTACAGAAGAAAGATGCAAATATGATAACAAAAATTAAGTGAATGCTATGCAAAGAAAAAAAAAAAAAAAAAAAAAGGAGGATGCCCATAATAACAAAATAATGGGTAACACATAAATATTAGATATCAACCTTTCCCAAGTGATTCAACAGGGGACAAACGACTTCCATCTGTGCTATCTTCTGATGAAAGTTCGGTTTGAATGTCAGTAGTTTCACTAAGAACTTCAGTTACAGTTTTCTCAACATTTTCTTCTGCACAATCTGTTGACGATATGTTGGGAACTGCAATATGTTCATTAGTTTTTAGAGTTTTTTTAGCATCGGTATCATTTTCAGCCACCTCAGCAGGAATGGATTGAGCAGATTCTCTGGTAAGCTCGGAACGATATGGAGAATGTTTTACTTGATTCGCATTTGAATTTACAGCATTCCTTTCAGCATCCTCAGCTTTCAAAACGGAAGCAGCAAATTTTTCTGAATTATGAATATGTGCACTATTTTTTATTTCACCACCTAAAAGAGAATATTAGTTGTATTAATTTGATCTGTCCTAAGAATGTTAATATGTTTTAAATATTGAAAAATAAAATAAAATGAAATTGATATAAAACATTTTCCATAGCAATCATTTAAATTTTTTTCCAAAATTATTATTGAGATATACAAGCAATAGAGTTGTTACTTGTATTTTCATTCCATTCAACATCAGCAATGGAAATTTGTTCAGCTCTTCGCATTAAATCTGCTCTTTTGGTTTCAGCTTTTCTAAGAAGATGAACTCTGTAAAAATATCTCTGCCAAAATTCTAGATGGGAAACAGAACTAGGAACCTAAAACAATAAAAAAAGGACAGAATCATGAAAGTACTGTAGAAAGTTTCCAAAATGTTCAACAAAACTTAAACTGAACATAAATTCTTTCAATACTGTTAACAGTATTCAGATTAAAATCATTTTACCTAACACACAGATGCAGCATCTTGAATGCCTAGCTTTCATTGCATTAAAAAACAGTCAATTTGTAATAATATGATGCCAGAATGAGAAAATGAACCTCTAGCTATAATGATCCACATAAGTCTTATAACAACCCCACTATCCACCAAAATTGCACTAAAACACCCTTCTTAAACACAAGAATAATATACAACATGAAACTTTTTCTGAAGGCCTAAAGCAAGCATATTGAAGTGCATATAATAGGTATGGCCAAATGCCTCTTATTTATGGCTCCCGAACCAAATGTTGACTTTTCGTCCCTCAGAAAGGGACTTGCCTTCAACAAGCATTTATTTTATTTTAAAAATGCAACTGCATTTTCAAACAGAAATTATACAACATTTTTTTATTAATCAGTACTTTAATTTTTTAATTACATTATGTAGTAATTTAATCAATTTCAAACTGTCTGCTGATAATCTGAGTAAAACAATCTAAAATATGAACTGTCTTTTCTATGAATTACAGCCTTGTTATTTTTTGAGTGGGTAATAGCAATTAGGATAGCACAAAAGATAAATGTGAAGGTCATTTAAAAAATAATGATTTCTAATGCTTTTTTTTTTTTTTTTTTTCCCTACCAGGTTTTATTTTATTTTATTTCAGATTGCTTCTTCTTAGAGTCCTAGGCTATCTTCTGTTTTGGAAGACATGCTATCCCTTGAAGGGTACATTTTTTTTTATTCCTGGGATACCTTGAGTAATTCACTGAACAAAACCTCTTTCAGGAAGGAAAGATACAGTCCACAATTGGATTCATTCAAACTGAGGAAGTATTTTAGGTCTGGTAGACTCATGGACTTTAAATGGTGGATGAGGAAAAACATCTCACTTGTGCTTGGTCAGCAAATCTGTCACAACGTTCCCATGTATGGTTAACATTCAAAATGTCCATCCCTGAGCAAGTCAAGTGTTCTTTTGTGTTCATGTGCATAATTTTTCCAACTATTTCTAAGAATACACTGCAGTCACACTTTTTTTAACTGGATCTTTAGCTTTCATAATGATCTCTTCATAGGCAGAGATCATAATTTGCTTTATCCATGACTGTCCATATCGAAATTTTTGAGGTCATGGGAAGGACATACTTCTTCATTTGGAGTGATTGTGATTTAGCTCTAGTTCAAAATCTCTAATGTACATGCTGCCAACTTATTCAAGGCAGGAATCTTTTACCTACATCATCAAATCTTTGTTTCAATATAGTAGCATTAAGTAGTAAGGAATCTGCTTGACACAAGCGTATTTTTCTTGCAAAACTTTTCTTAAAACACAGTAAAGTGATATTAATGAAACTGCTGTAGATTAGTATATTTTTTAGAATTTTGTTTGATAATTTTCTTCCTTTCAAGTCCATTACAAATATTACTCTTCCCACATCTTTTGATAGTCCTGGTCTTCCTCACATAAGGTTCTGGAAAGTTCCACAGAACTTTTGTTATAAAAAGTTTGTTTTTAAATAAGATTTTTGACTTTCTTAAATTACACAATACCCGAGATATTCAAACACTCATTACTTAAATGGGTATTTGGTTTTGTCTCAAGCTTTATATGCAAATATGCATGTATGCAAATTGTCCTGCCATTAAAGTTACCAGAAATTAATTTAAGACTTCTTATATTGTATTATTCTCACTGTATCACTTCTACCATACTACAAATTTCGCCATTCATTAATTGATTGATGATTAAAAAGCATTCTCATTGCAATGAAAAACTTCTTTTATATCATCTTCACCTATTACTGCTTCTATACATTTCTTTACAAAATCCATTAATTGGAAAATTTCACCTTTGTTTTGCGATATCCGAAAACCTTTAAAATTAGCGGCTTTCATCATCAAATTTAGCTATCCTTCTCTATATATATTTGGCTATGCATCATGAGCTTGGTGACTAACAACAAGTTGTTCCATTAAATTTTATCTTGCTTCTATCACACACTGAGACAATTAAGCCTGAATGTATTAGTTATTTATTATATTTAGTCTTATTCTTGCACATAGGTTAAGGCTATCAAAGTTCGAATAAATAATTTTCCACCATATCCTTATTGAGAGCCGGTGCTAGAAATCTTACGCCTATGCAACCTCTGTGCAAAGAATGTCTCGGTCTAACATACATATTCTTTGCGGTGGGTCCTAAATCTCTGAACCGATCGGCAACGAGCACTGGCACGGTCTGCCTATTGAATAACAATCAGTTATTTAATTCAAATAGCACTAAATGTAATCTTTGGGTCTAGAGTCATCAACAAATTTTTTAGCCTGGAAAGAAAGTTTTGGTAAATTTTTCCTCTTCACATTTTTTAGTGCATTTAATAAATTTGAATCATCACAGGCATAATGTCAAAAAAAAAGGTTACCATAATTCTTTATTATCAATTACTAACATAAAAAAATATTTGGCATTGCTACAGAATCATTATTCAATTTGTCATGTTTTGATAAACATGCAGTGATGAAAGTAAAGTATAATAAATAATGATTCAACGGGTTGGCCGTCAGATCAACGATGTATCTATGTGGAATCTTTGGGTTTGAGATGTATGCCAAGCACATATGCAGCAACGGAGCCAAATTACTGATCGTAATAATTTATGCTAAAATAATTGCTTCTTCAATAACAAAGTATTTTATTTAGTGTCGAAGTGAAATTAAGAATCAGGACTCTCCAGATGTTTTATTATGCATGGAGGGAGGGAGGGGGGAATCAAGTGCGCATCTGTAAAGCCTAAAAGAAAACGTTTTTGGTGGTTTTGAGGTCCAGATTTTAGATCATTCTGGATAACGGACGTCTGGATTTCGGACTTTGTATTGTAGTAAGATGTTGTCTTGTAGTAAGAATATTTCATCTTCAAAGGTTATATTTAATTAATAAAAATATTCAGCACCTAGAAAACTTAACTGAAGGTGATTTAATTGCATAGATAATTCTCAACAAACTGATACCAATGATTTTTCTTTAAAAATATATTAAACTACAATTAATTGACATAGTACAAGTGTACAATACATGTACAAGGCTTGTCCAGAAAGTAGTACTTATTTGATGATAATAACAACAGAAAAATTTAGTCAAATAAAACATTTTTGGAAATATGTACATTTATGGCATCAAAGCACTGCACTAGAAGACAAGTTTCTAGACACATTTCTGCCTATAGTCTAAATGAGCTGACACATACAATTTGATGGAGTTTGTCATAAGCAAATCACTTCACAGTTTAAAAATCTAATTTTGTGAAAAGAAGGTAATCTTTCGTGGGAGGAGGGGGTTGAGACTGCAGCTGTAAACCAAATTGTCTCAACTAAACTCAGCTGCAAATGTTGACATTCCATCAGCTGTACAATGTCATTGGGAGATGATCATATCCTCTGACTTACACCATGGGGACTCTCTTGTGATTTTGAATGGATTTCCTCAAATTTTCCAGCATTTCGCAATATTTATTTGCATTGATGATTTAACCACCTGTCAAAACTTCAATAAAGAGTGAACCCTGTTAGTCCCAGAACATAACAGCCATTGTATTTGGTATGAAAATGGTTTGTTAGGTCTTCTTCAGTTTGACGGGTGAATGAAGATGAAGCTTTTTTTTTTTTTTTTTTTTTAAATTCTACGCTGTCTGTGGCACTTCTGCCATTAAGCAATGAGCAGCCTAGTAAAGTGAAGAAGCATGAAAATGAGAATTAAAATTAGCATCAAAAGAGTTGTCATTAAAAAGCTTTAAAACAATGAAGGAGTTCTTGAGATGGTCACCATCCATGTCACCCTGATGACATAAAGAGCAACATGCTGAATTCTTGATTCCAATATGACATAAATGCCTTTATAAATAATCATGTCCAGTTAGCATTCGAAAATAAGCAACTCGAACATTATGGGTCAAAGAATTGGGAATTTTATTCTTTTTGTTAACCAGGATGTTTCACCTGTTACCCACAGCTGCATCTTTGTATAAGGACATTCTACTATTCTTAATTTTATTGTCTACAATCCTTTGTATGTATGCAAAGGCAGAGGAGAATCAGGCTGAGTCATTAGAGAACCAACCAGCTTTAGGAAGTCCATCAGCCTGCTCATTACAAACATGCCACAATGGTTCGGAATCCATTGGAGGGCTATGCTTTCTCTAGAATTCTCAAGTTCAAAAAGCCTTGTTCTACAAGTATGAATATGTGCATTTTCATTGTATGTTGAATTCAAAAGCAATAATATAGCAGCCTGAGAATCAACGAAAAACACAATATTGGGATCAGGACTGTCTCTCAATTTATCAAATGATATTATCACTATATCTCCATCAAAATTGTCACAATATTTCCCAACAGGATAGCTAATACTGAAAGTACTTGAGTATGCTCCAGCACCTGCACATGACGATAACATCACAGACATATGTCTTTTAAACTTTAGAAGTTTCAAATGCATATTTCCATAATAATTTACAAGTGCAAGTAATGATGAAGAATATTTTTGCCTCTATATTTCATATTTTTGGATTAATTAATATATATATTTTTGCTAAAAAAGCAAGAAGGAAACTTTAGTATTTGGAAGTTGAAAATGAGTAGAAAATTACTTCCTCCTGGCATGTTTCATTCTAAATAACAAATCAACATCCAGGCAAGGCTGTACATAAAAATGTTAATGACACTTCTAAGACTGAAAGATCTGAAACAAGACAAGACTTAATTTTTACTAAAATAATATCATATAAAGAAAGGTAAAAGAAAATAATTTTACAGTTTGATATTTACTTGAACAATTTTAACATAACATAATTTGGAACTGCCTACTTAACTTCATGCTCACCTTCTTCATCTTCC